CGGTTCTTTCTCTGGAGGTGAATGGTATTTTTCATCATAAGTCCTTCGGAATTGTCTGAAATCATTGTATTATGGGGAAGAGCTAAGTCATTCGTAGTTGATCATTGTTACGATGTTGCTGGTTCTCCTGGTTCTGCTCACTTTGCTTTGCATCAGTTCATGTAAGTCTTTCCAGGTTTTTCTTGGAGCATCCTGATGGTCATTTCTTACAGCACAATAGTATTCCATTATATTCATAAACCACAGCTTGTTCAGCCATTCCCCAATGGATGGGCATTTTCTCAGTTTCCAGTTCTTTGCCACCACAAAAAGAGCTGCTCCAAATATTTTTGTACAAATAGGTCCTCCCCCCACCTTTTTAAAAATCTCTTTTGGATACAGATTTAGTGACACTGAAGGTTTTTAAGGAGGTCTGTGACATGACCAGACTGGCCACGTGACTCAGATGGGTTTATGGACAGTGCAAACTTCCTGGGCTAAGGGAAGAGTTCTGGGATCTAGCAGCAGCTGCAGCCAGGCCAGGCACATGGGCTGGGGGGAGCAAGCCCAGCCTTGGCCCTTCCCTGATCCTGGAAGTTCTGAAGACTGTTTGAGTCTGAGCAAAGAGGGCTGGATTTTCAGTGACCCCGAGTGGCGGCCTCAACCTTAGAGCACACAGCAGTCATTCTGTCACTTGAGGAAGGGACAGGTTACTTGACCATCCAGTGACCCTGAGAGGGTGGGGGATGAGGTACCCACCAGTGGTGCTATTCTAAGTGTGGAGGATTCCTCCAGGAAAGCAGAGGCCCACTAGCGGGTTGGCTGTGACTCATTTCTGTTTGGCATTTGGGGAAAATAAAGGTGGCTTGTTGGCCTGAGTGCTTGCGGGGGAGCTGAGGGCTCTTTGCTAGACACAAACTAGATGAAGATGTTCCCAGGGGAAGGGTTAGGTGAGGGCATGAGCCAAAGAGAGATGTCTGCGAGGAATCCCTAAGACAAGCTAGGCCATGTAAACCCTGAGGTTCAACCTCAGGCCACGGGGCACATTCACAATAATGGACTCAAAGATAAAGGTCTTTCAGGGTCATGCTGGGGCTGGCACAGCATTTACGAACTAGCGTTCCATTTACAGAACTGTTCTTCTGAGGCAGCTAATTCTGTTCCAGTTCTACCTGGGACAGAAGTCTGGGACTGCCCTTAACGAGGTATTTCTGTGATTATCTTCTGCCTCGCAGTGGTCTCTGACTCCTGTTTGGGCTCCCAGGCTCTCTAGGGGCAGCAAAGAAGAAGAATGAGCCCTGATCTCAAACTGCAGGAGTCTGAGGCGGACTGCCCTTCAGCGCTCAGACCCCCATAGGCACACACATGTACGCCCAGGAACCCATGCTACTCGCCCTGACAGCCATGCCTGTACATACATGTATGCCCAGGAGTTCACACTACCCGCCTTGACAGCCATGCCTATACACACTTGTACAGATGCCCATATGACCACACACGCACATACATACCTGGCCATGCATGCACACCAACACACATGTGCCCACACATACACATGTCTGCATGTGCAGGAACACCACACCACAGCACACAGATGTGTGCCAAGGCAGATGCAGAGGTTTGGACTGAGAACCCACAAACCTGCCTGTCCCTGGGTGCACAGAGGTGCTGGGGGCAGGCACTGAGCCATCCCCCCCCCCCAGCAGATGGTCGGCCTATAAAACTTTAATGTCTTCCCATCTGTGCTCACCCTGAGCTGCTGTAATCCCAGACCCAGGGAGGCAGAGGCCAATCCCTCGGAATCTATCACTGCTGTAGACCTGGCTAATTGGGATCAGCCCTGCGGAGGGATTGGAGGGCAGACCTGGGAAGAGGGGAGGGCTCAGCAGGCATAAGCCCTGTCCCTGCCCTCCTCAGCCCTTCCTGGCCCCTCCTCGGGACCCTCCTGAGTTAACAACATCCTCGTGCCCTGCCCCTTTCCTCTCACCTGGCCCAGACACCCCCTGAGGCCCTGGAATAGCTTCTCCTCTCCAACCCTTCCAGGACTGGCCCATTCCCTCTTCCTCCTCCCCCTCCTCCTCCTCCTCCAGGGAGTCTGCCCTGACTCTTCCACTCTGCTGATCTCTTCCTTCTTTGACTTCCAGGACCTTAGGGGCTGATGACCCCTATGGTCTGAGCCCTGGATCGAACCCTGACTGTAACCCTGTCCTGCCTTCTTCCCTCCAGACTGGGAGCTCCCTGAGGGCAGGCCCTGGGGCTCCTCCTCTTTCATCTCTTCCTTTCACCAATTCGGTCTTGTCTGTAGCTTCACGATGGTCCCATCAGCTCCAGCAGCCTGGCCCAGCCTCACCACCATTCCCTGGCCTGAGCTCTGTGTTACACCTCAGAGGGCAGGGTGGCTCTCTGCCCCTAAGATGCCCAGATATAGGGCTCCCTGGGGGGCTTGCTGACCCGGGCAGGATTTCCCCCCTAAATAACTTGCATGTGGGGAAGGCTCAGGCACCCCTGATGTCAGGCCTGGAGCTGGGGAGGCTGGACTCTGGAAAGCAATAGGGAGGCAGAATATGCCACTTTCTCTCTCCATCACCCCCCCCCAAAAAAAACAACATAGAAGGAAGCTCAGAGTCAAAGGTGGAGGGGAAAGTATGATTTAGAAGCCTTTGATGGGGAAACGAAGTCCAGAATTGGGAAAGCTCTTTGGGAGTTGAGCCCCAGGGTGCTTTCTTCTGATTGATAGGATGAGTAATAAACTGAAGCCCAAAGTCCCCCCTAAACTGGTAAAGACTGTTGGAATTTAACCTTCAAGCCTGGTCCTCCTATTGCCCTAAACACACTCTCCCTTGCACATTGGCAGCCTCGGTCTCTGAGCCTGCTGTCGGACTGGGAGAGGCTTATCCATCTCTGCCTCCCCCTCAGTGCCCTGAACAATGCCCTACAAACAGCAGGTACCCACAGAATTTGTGCTGAATGGCTGAGAGAATGAATGAATGAATGAATGAATGAATGGCCTGTGCAGTATTACAGGTGTTCCCCTATGCTTGCCCAAAGGCTGGTGACAATCAGTTGCCTCTCCTCTGGGCTCTAAGGTTTATAAAATACCTTTCCTTTTAGGTACCAGTCAGTCAATAGGCATTTATTAAGCTCTGACTGTACGCCAGGTATTGTGGTATGAAGAGGGACATGGTGACGTATTATTACAGATAATTAATACGGAGACTCAGTGGTTTGCTCAGGATTCCCTTGGTGATAAGTCATGCGGCCAGAAGGATTCTATTACGCTGGGAGAAGCAGCCATGGGGAGATGGAGGTTTGGTGTCAGGAATAAATCCCTAACTGTCCAAGTGTTGTGGGCTGCTGAGATAGGTAGTGAGCTCCCTGTCACCAGAGATCTCCAAGCAGAGCCTGGATGTCCACATGGCTGATGTTCTGGAGTGAGGCCACTGGCTCAGACTAGCTACCTCTGAGGCTGAGCTCTCTCCCAACTCAGACTTTGTGGCATGTCAGAGCAAGCGGTCTGACTCAGGCCCACATCTCTTTCTTCTAAGCTACGCTGCCCTCAAGGAATAGAAAGAAGCAGGGACAAGGAAGGGTGGTGTTGTCAGAGGCAGGGCAGCGCAGGGGGAGGAAGACCTAGGGGAAGGAAGACCTAGGTTTGAATCCCGGGCCTGGTGACCTTTGCCAAGCCCTTGCCCCTCCGGGCTGCCCCAGTCTCCTCCTCTTGCAGCGCGAGAGAGGAGGATGGACCTTCCCTAAGGTCTATTCCAGACCTGAGTCCTGTGGTTCTGAGGATGAAGAAGTTTAGAACCAGGAATCCCCCACCACAAAGGGTTTCCCCACACAGACATTGCCTGGGGGCCTTGGAGCTAGCCAGAGTAAGGCTCCATGGCCACCAGCCACAGTGGGGTTTGGACTGAGGATGGGGGCTGTTCTTGGCCCTGGTCCAGGGAGGCCTCGCTCTTCGGGCTGTGCGGGGAGTGAGTCACGGGCAGTGGTGGCGGCCAGCTGGGGTTCCAAGCCCGACATGCACCATGATCTCACCAGGCGGGGAGGGGCCAGGCTGACCTGGCTCACTTCCTGGCCCTGGACCCAGAAATCTGTCGGAGACTCCTTCAGGACTGGGAAAGTCCTGCTGTGTTCCCAGCTTCATCAAATCAGACTCCTGTGGTAAGTGGAGGCCACCCCTCTCCCACATCTCTGCAGCCAGCAAAACCTGAGAGCAATGCAGGGAAAAGGAGAGCTGCCCATTCTGCAGAGGAGAGAACTGAGGCCCAGAGAGTCCCAGAGACAAAGAGCAAGTCAGTGGCAGAGCTCAGGACTCTCTCCCTCTCTGCAGGAAGCTCATCAATGAGATAGCCTGGCATGGACCCAGGAAGACCCCAAGTCCAAATCCTACCTCAGATACTTACTGGCTGTGTGACCCTGGGCAAGTCACTTCACCTCCATCTGCCTCTGTTTTCTCAACTGCAAAATGGGGGTGATAATAGCACCTAGTTCCTAGGGGTCTCATGAAAATCAAGTGGGACAGTATTTGTAAGGCACTTAACACAGTGCCTGGCACATAGTAAGCAGCACATAAGTGTCAGCTATTATCCTCATCACTCTATGTAAAATTATTTTAGAGGTGGGGGGTGAGGGTGGTTAGGACAAGCCTGGTGTAGGAGGTGGACTTAAGATGAGTTAGAGATTCTGAAAAGGAAGTGAAGAGTGAAGGCATTCCAGGCAGAGGGCACAGTGTAATGCACATGTTTGGAAGCAAGAGGTGGAATGTCAGGTCAGGTGAACAAGTCCCAGGAAAGCCAAATTAACTGAGGCTCCTTTTTGATGATCATTTAGCCTGTGGATTGACGATTGATGGTAGGCCAGGAAGGAGTTTGCTTTTAAAGACAGGCCTGGAGAAGTAAAGTGAGAGTGGGAGAATGATGTCAGGGAGAATGTTTATCCCACTTCATCTGAATTCCATTGTTTTTCTTGGATACCTATTATGTGAGTGATGGAAAGAGAATTCACTGAATAGAGTCAGCAGACCTGGTGTCTGCTCTTGGCTCTGCTCTCACCTTCCATTAGGGAATAACAGAATAACTGAGCTCTAAGGGATGTTCCAGGCCCAGACCTCTGTATGCAGGCAGCCACTGCCTGGAAAATGACCATCCCGCTTCTTCTCCGATGCCTCTGTGGCCAGGAGGAGCCTGAGCATTCTACCTTGGGTAAGAGGGAGAAAGTAGCCCTTTGTGTTTATTCCATTTCTCCTCAACACTCCCAGTTTTGTCCATAGGGGCCAGATGGAGTAAATCTAATCCTTCCTTTCCATGACTGAGACTTGAAGAGATCTCTCTCTCTCTCTGTCTCTCTCTGTCTCTCTCTGTCTCTCTCTCTCTCTCTCTCTCTCTCTCTCTCTCTCCTCTCTCTCTCTCCCCCCCCCCCCGGCTCTTGACGGAGACTTGAAGAGCTTTTGACACGAACTTGAAGAGATATATCTCTCCTGGTTCTTCTCCAGGTCAAACACTCCCTCATTCCTTCCTATGTCTGGCTCACCAGGACTGTTACTGTCCTGGTCAGCCTGTACCAATTTGTCAATGAGTCTCCACAAAATGTGGTAACTGAAAGTTAGCACAGTCCTCCAGCTGACATACTGCAGGGCAGAGGACAGAGGGACATTTTCCTCATCTCTCCCATTTCTTCCTCTGAGGAACATGGATGCGGGAATAGCACTAGGAAATCCCTAAGGGCATTTCCAACCTGAAATCCTATGCAAATTCCTCATATACAAAATCTTACCCATTGGGGATTGCTCAGATTAAGTGCTCCCAAACCCCTCCAGGAATGGGAGAGGAACTTAGAGTTGGGGTAGTGAGGTAATTACCCAAAAAAAGCCGTGGCTAGATCATTTTGTTAGTGGGGGACATTGCACCAGGAGGGATACCCCAGGAAAGGACCTCCCCAGAGAAAGGACTTGTGAGCCTGGATTGGACATGTCTGGGAAGAGCTCTAGGGCCAGCCTGTCCCATTCCACGGGTGGGTACATCTGTGCAGCTGACGAGGCTCTTGTTCTCAGGACACACGTCAGCACCATGGCTAGGGAAAGTACCTATGGGAGTGGCCAGAGCTGAGCCGCACTCCCCTTCTGGAGGTGATTAGGCAGGTTACCCTCTCTCAACTTGAGCTGTTTTAGAGTGAGGCTTAGACCCAGATAACCCTTCAAGCCAAGTAGAGGCTGAATTGGGCTGGGGACCCCCAGTTGTGTCTCTGGGTCTCTCCCCAGCACAGACCAACAGGGAGGCAACCAGGAGAGTAGAGCTTCCCCCCCAGCTCAGGTAAAAAGTGCTTGTACTTGGGTGCCTTCCCTGGGGCTACAATTTTCTGGTACTGGAAATCTTGGTGAGTCAGTCAATAAGCATTTATTAAGTGCCTACTATGTGCCAGGCATTAAGCAATGGGATGAATTTGTGCTAGAAAGGTAAGCCAGGCTGCAGCTCGGGCCAGGCTCGCCTGAGAGTGTGGACGAGTCTCAGATAGAATAGTCAACGTTAGGCATGAGGTTTGGGATGGGGTGATGACAGAGAATTAAACTGGATGACATGGGGACCAGGCTGGGGCCACTTCAGCTCTGACACAACTGAATTCCCTCTCCTCTGGTTTCTGACAGTTTTCCTTCTCTTTCATAATAAATACATAGACTTTAGAACTGCAAGGAACCCCAGGCATCATCTGATCCACTCCCCTCTTTTTGCAGAAGAGGAAACTGAAGCCCAGAGGAGGGAAGCGCCTCATCTGTGATCACAAAGGGGCAGAACTGGAATGTGAAACCTAAGTATCCCGACTCCAGAGCCCACGGGCTGCCCAGTCTACCGCGCTGACTCCCGAACAGCCTCCATAAGCTTTCCCAGCGTCCCCATAAGCTGCTCCACCTCCCTCCCTGCTCCTTATCTCCAGGTCTTCTGCAGGAGCCAGGGGAGATGAGATCTTAAGCTCTCCTTAATAAGTGTTGCCAAAGGGTAGAGCTGTGACTGGTTAGTGAGGTCACCGCCCAGTAACTAGACTGGGGCTCCTTTCTCTTGGCACTTTTGAATATTGGCTACGCTGGTTCAGTCCTCCCAAGGCAGATCTTTTCCAAATGGGTCCTTGGCTTGTGGTTGGAACCCACAGTCACTGGCCCAGCAGTGGGGCTCAGTGATTAGAATCCTCCAGTTCAATAGAATTCAATTCAGCCAACATTTTTTACTTATTGTATTCAGAACTCTGTGATAAATGCTGCAATCCTTAGATAAAACACCATCTCTGCCCTCAGGGAGTTTATAGTTTAATATGAGTCAGCACTTAGCAGTCCTTGGCATACAGTAGTAGCAAACGCTTGCTGATGGGATGATCAATTGATGGCAGATGGGACACAATCAGTTAACTCTAGTACACGATATTCTGGGGGTAGGTGTAGTAGAGAGGATCATGAGTTTCCTGAAGCCTGAGGAGGAAGATCTCTAGGAACTTGGAGACCAAAGCAGGCTTCTTGGAGGAGGAAGCATTCGGCTTGGGCTTTAAAGGACGGGTAGGGAAGAGAGGGAGGTAGAACAGGGGACAGCACACGCAAAGGCCTGCAGGTGAGAAAACAAGAAGCATAGAAAAGAGGGTAAGTAGAGTAGCGTGGTTGGAGGGGGCATGTCACTGCACAGAACATGCTTCTGAAGCCTGATGCTTTATTACGGATGATCTAGTTGGATTAGTTCATGATTTTTTTACATGAGGAAACAAGCCCAGAGAAGGACAGGAGCTTGCCAAGGATACACAACAATGATTGTCAGCCAGGCTTTGGACTCAGGTCTTCTTGACCCTCACCATGCCATGCTGAGGGAGCTAAGACCAGAAAGACACAGTGAGGCTAGAATGTTATGCCTTAGAGGTACTTAACTTAGAATGTACCACTCAAAATAATTTTATTAAAAAAAAAACCCTCCAAGGTAGAGTGTGTGATGAAACAACTGAGTGCAATATTACTAAAAACAAGTTCCTAGAGAAGGGGCAACAGAGAGAGAGAGGCAGCAGAAGCCAAAGACACTAGTTTTGGAGCTTGGAGAGATCTGTCTTCAAATCCCGACCCTGGTACTTCAGAAAAGCATGTGACCCTGGACAAGTCACTTCACTTTTGCTGCCCCTAATGGGCAAAATGGGAGCAATAATGACTGAGGGGCTCTGAGGCTCAAATGAGACAATGTATTTACACTTCTGAAAACTTCAAAGGGCTACAAACATGCCAGCTACTATTACTGTGGTTGTTGCCGTTATTAATGTCTTTAGATCAAAGCTGAAGACAAAACTCCTTCCTGTGTAAGAGGGTGAGGCTTCATCATGGGCACCCTCCTTGGGTCCCCATCTGGGGACCCCACTGAGAACCATGGAGAGTGTAAGCACCAAGAAGGGAGTGGCAGACACCTCAAGACCACCACGAGTGCATGAGCAGCTGGGCTGCTCCCAGCTTCCACCCCAGAATGCCTCTCATACTCAGTGCCTACACAATGCTTGCTCGCTCTCTGCCTGGGTTGAGTCAGTGGTTGGATGGCCCAAAACCCAGCGTCCTGCCGACATCAGGTACAGCATGGTATTTATTCTTCTCACTATTATTTAGTTAGCCATGATCAGTTCCTGCTTCATTTATGACTGAGTTCATCAACAGACCCGATTAGTTTGCTTTGATCTGATATAATTCTTCTATCTGTAGGAGACCTCTTTGAAGATGGCTCCTGTACTTGAGGCTACCTTCATGTCAAAACACATTCAGGCACCATCAGATGATTTCCCTTCTAGGATGACAGAGCTATGCATGGATTCACTTTGTCCTGTTAGCCTCTTTAAGAACCAGGAATGTCTGTCTTGACAGAAGCAGAAACGGGGGAGTTTTCAACCCATCAGTTCAATCAGTCCTTAAGCATTTATCAAGCCCTACTATGTGCCAGGCACTGCACAGGTCTGCAGTTTAACTGCAAGATCAACATGAGTCAGCAGTGTGATACGGGAGACAAAAAACCCCAATGCCGTCATGGGCCACCTGGCATCACCACGGAGACCAGGATGCCAGAGATGGCTGCCCATGGTGTCCTTCTTGGCCCCTGCCAGGCCCTTGCCTTAGGACTGCTGGAGGGCAAGACATTGATTGACAGGCTTACCCTGTCCCAACGTTTTGATTTGTGGGAAGGAAAAAGAAAATGATAAGGAAGCTACAGAAAGGAAGATAAAGGGAACACCATAAATGGAGAAGGTCCACAGCCATCACCCTCACCAGATGCTGGAACACAGGTGGTGTGCTGATGAGATCCACTTTAGCTGCCGACAAAGATGGTGAATCCTCAATCCCCTCTCCCCTTCCCCTGACTCTTTTGAAAAGGTGTGAGCCTGTTTCCTTGGGGATGAGGGGCAGAGGTGGAGGCTTGGTTTTCTGTCCTGAAAGCCTGTTTATCCATTTTACGTTTAAAGGTTTGCTTTGCATCTTGTGTTAGCAATTGTGATTAAAAGAATGTAACTGGTGACCCAAAGCCCATTGGTATAGGACTCTCTCCTCATAGTGGAGGTCAATGCCCTGGGCTTGAGTGAGGGTGAAACAAAGTCAACAAGGTTAGGAGAGAGGAACAGAAAGGGCTCTCTTGGAGCTGTGAAGTCTTGCCAACTCCAACCTGCCCACAGCAGCCCTAGGGCATTGATCTCCAGTAATGGGGAGAGAGTCCCATAGCAAAGGACTGTGGGACTGGGTTACCAGTGCTTGTATTGCTAAACTGTGTGCATTATTATTTGAGTGCAACATAGAGAGAGGTGATTATGCAATGAGAGAGAGAGAGAGAGAGAGAGAGAGAGAGAGAGAGAGAGAGAGAGAGAGAGAGAGAGAGAGAGGTAAAATTGGTATTTTGTCAGAGTATAATCCCAGGCTGGGGGCTCAGAGCTAAGAGATAATATTACAACTTTCCAGGACAGAGAGAATACTTTTGCCAGAATTTCTCCAGGAAAATGAGTCATCAGCTGTGGCTAGAAAATCAACTGGGTTGGCAGTGAGGCAGGTATCCACCATTTTGAAGGCCTACTTTGAAATACAAGCTACTCCAGAAAAGTGAGGGGGACCAAGAGAGTGGGTGGAAAGTCATTCCCAAAAGGAGAAGGAGCAAGTCTGACAAAAAGATGGACTCTAGGAAGCGTGTCTAATAGCCACACCTGTCAGCGGAAGATGTTGATCCTGCTCGGCCTCAGAGAGCAGAATTAGAAGCAACAGGAGAAAGTTACCAAAAGGAAGGTTTTTGCTTTTTAACAATTGGAGTATTCTCATTCAGGTGTGGTTTGGGTTTGATATCCTGCGGTATCACCTCCAGCTTAGAGATGCTGGGACACTGTCTGGGCGTTGGGACAAATAGCCTCATAATATAGGTTCAGGGCTTGGCTATAGGCAACCAAATGTAGCTCAGACCAGGGGTTTGAGATGCTTCATCTAACTCCCTCTGCTCCCCAATGCAGGCTCCCCTTCTGTGGCATACCTGGAGAAGGAGGGGTCATCTGGTCTCTGCTTGAACACCTCTGGAGACAGGGAGCTTGCTTCCTCTGAGGAAGCCCATGCCATTTTCAGACATCTCCTTCAGCCCAGACAGCTTCAGGAGGGGGCCCCTGACAACACACAGACTCTTGGGGGAAGGAGTGTTTGACAGCACACAGAATCTTTGGATGGGGGAGGGGTCTGACAGCACACAGAATCTCTGGATGGGGTGAGGGGTCTGACAGCACTCAGAATGGGGGGGGCCTGACAGCACATAGAATGGGGAGGCTGATAGCACAAAGAATGGGGGGGTCTGCTAGCACACAGAATCTCTGGATGGGGTGAGGGGTCTGACAGCACTCAGAATGGGGGGGGGTGTCTGCTAGCACACAGAATCTCTGTAGCCCTGGTGCCCAGGACAGAGGATGAAGGTGGGACAGTGACCATTTGTGGGTCTAATGGGGCAGAGAAAAGAGGCCCCGGTTTCCCATCAGGCACAATTTGCTAACTCCCAGCGGGTTCAGAAACAATGCTGGCCTTCGCTGGCTCAGGGAGAAGAGACGAAAACAACCTGGTCCCTGGAGGCTGCTCACCGGAAGTTTGCTCCGCCTGGTTCTCATTCTCCGGGACTTACTCATCGCCGCCCCCTCGGCCGAGGCTGTTTGCTATCAGAGAAGCCCTGACCTGGTCGTTATTTTTCTGCTTTATGAGCCTCTGTTCCGGGAAATGGGAAGTCTTTACTGACACTGACAAACAGGAGTTGGGGAGGAGGTGAAAGTTAGCTTCTAACCTTAGCATGGCCCCTCTGGAGCCCTGTCCCTCCGCCTCTGACCCTGCAGAAAAAGGAAGCAGGGAGCCCAAGCCCCAGCTGGACACTCACTCTAGAGAGGACCCAATGCCCAGAGGGGAAGCTTCAGGATGCCTGCCACCTCCCAGTGGTCGTCTTCTGCCCAGGAACCCCCAAATGGCTCCCTGTGAGCCCCAGGAGCCCAAGCAAGCCTCTTGCTCTGGTTTTTACCACCTGTAGGCTTGGCTGCCCTCCCCTCCATGCCAGGCTGGTCTCCTTGTCTGCCTCGCAGTCAGGAGATCACAGGTTCAGAGCCTTAGGGATCACGGGGACCCCCTGTCATTTTACAGATGAAGAAACTGAGGCCCATAAAGTGTGTGCATAAGATTACACAGCTAGAAAATACTGGGGGTAGTTTTCAAACCAGTCTTACGACTTCGAATCTAATGCACTTTTGTATTTTATAAAGCTACTCCAATGTGTTTCCCTGGACTGGGAGCTCCCTGAGGGCAGGACTCCTCCTCTAGTTCCTCCTAACTGGAGTCTGACCTGAGTGTGCTCACTAAGGAGAATCACCAAGTGGATTCTCTGGGACTAGAAGAGAGAAGCATCCAGTGAGGGGATGGATGGACGGATGGACGGACGGACGGACGGATGGATGGACGGATGGATGGACAAGTGAATGAAAGGCCTGATGGTGACACAGATGTGTGTGTGTGTGTGTGTGTGTGTGTGTGTGTCTTGGCACCCCTTCCTGAACTCAAGCTCAAGGTTCACTTGCCAGCCCTGTTCACTGTCTGACCTGACTCCTTCAGATCTCCAGGACCTGCCTCTGGTCTCCAGGTCCTGGATCAGAGACTCCTGATTGGGATGGGGCACAGAGTGGAGACACCTTTCTGTCCTGCTCAGTGGGCATGGCATAGGCACAGCTTGAAGCCTGCCCATCCTGTAGCCAGGGCTGCTGCAGTCTAGGACTGCCCACGTGGCTAGGCTGGTATCAAATTCCTCGAGATGCCTGGGGCTCGGGAATTGGGTGCTGGAGTTGGCCGGTCCAGCTCCTGAGGTTTCTGGGACCTGAGACATGGTCTTTTCAGGCTTTTTTTTTTTTAATCAAGAGATGAAAAGCAGCTAGTGTTTCTTAGCTGTGCCCAGAGCCAACCAAACCTGTTTCTTCCTCAGCTGTCCCTCTGCTCAGGTGGGTTCACTTTTGGTACCAGGCTCAGACAGGGCCAAAAAGGGGGTTGGCAGAGAGCAGGGTGCCCAGGGCAGAGATGGCTCCTGAGCCACTCAGAGACCTCTCACCCACCTTCTGCTGCCCACAGCCCTGACCTTTGGGAACTGTTATTATGGCATAGCCCCAGAGGATATCCATGTGTATGGAGCTGGGGCCCTACAAATCGCTGATGGCGTGGGCCCCTTCAGACCAATAATGCTCCCTCTGCCATGTCCCCCAGGGTAACTTTTGAATTGGGCATCGATGCCCCCACCCCAGTGCCAGTGTGAGGCTGAAAAACAGCAGGGAGACTTGGGTTCTCAGGGACACTTGAGCCCTCAGCTCTTCACACCGAGTGCCCCCTCCCTCCGGGCTCCCTCTCCTGGTTGCGGGCACAGACTGGACCAGACTGTGTTCTCGGGAATAAGGACTGACTCCATCCCTGTCTCCTCCTGCAGGTCCTCACAGAGGGGCCGTGGGAGGAAAGCATTCCAAAGAATCGGACAGAGGCGGCTTGTGGGGCTGTGTCTCATCCCGGGGCTCCTGCTTCATTTGGGGACTAATCTGTGCATTCATCACAGAGAATGCACAGTTCTGAGTCACCCAGTTAGCATTTACTAAGTGCCTACTCTGTGCTGGGGATACAAAGAAAGGTCAAAGACAGTCCATGCCCCCAAGGAGGACATCAAAGGACAACCAGATGGTGAAGGGCCTGCAGTCCCTGCCATGAGGACCCCGCAAAGGAGCTGGGAATGTGTAGCCTGGTGCTATTGCATGGAATGGAATGTTTCAGAGAGCCCTTTTATCTCCAACAAAGAAAAATGGGGTGCAATAAGACACCCCCCCGGGCAGTTAACTGCGAGGTAACTGATCTCCCCAGACCCCGGGTGAGGACCCTTACTTAGGCTTTCTGCATTAAGTGTTCACTGTGCTCCAGAAACTGTTCTTGATTCTGAGAGTAAATAAATGAAAGGTGGTATAATCCCTGTCCTCAAGGAGATTATAATCTTATCCAACCCAATAAACATTTATTAAGCACCTACTGTGTACTGGCCACTAAGCTAAACCCTAGAGGTACAATTAGTAAGAAGACAATCCCTGCCCTCCAGGAGTTTACAATCTAAGGGGGGAGGAGGGAGGCAGAGAGATACCACACAAGAGGATAATGATCCTTTTATCATAATCTAAAGCAGACCTATTACTGTCTCACTAACCTTTATTTGGTAACATTTGCTGCTCAAAGCTCGGGGTTTTACCTGCAGGCTGTCTCTGAACCTTTCCTGGTTTGCCCTGGGGGTGGTCTCTCAGGCCCTAGAGAAGGCCTTGAAATCCCCAAACATCTGAGAGCTTTTCCTTCCTGGTAGCCAGGACCCAGCCCTCTCACCACCTGCCTGCCTAGGTGCGGCTCGGTTTTTATTCCTTTAGTCTTTTCAGTTGCATTTGTGACCCCATTGGGGGTTTTCTTGGCAGAGATACTGGGGTGGTTTGCCATTTCCTTCTCCAGCTCATTTGACATGTGAGGACACTAAGGCAAACAGGGTGACTTACCCAGGGTCACACAGCTAGTAAGCCTCTGAAACCAGATTTGAACTCAGGTCTTCCTGACTCTAGGCCCAGGGCTCTAACCACTGAGCCACCTAGCTACCCTAGGGGCTCCTCATCTCTTTTGATAAAGGACACTATTCGGCATAGCAGGGCTGTGAAAGAGAGACTGTGGCCATGTCATTCTTTGACAGCTACAGCAAGGCTTACTCTTCTGAAATCTGGAGAAGGTGCCTCTGCTCCCTGACACTTGACCTACCCTGGGACAGGTCTGGCCCCAAGCACTTGTTTGCATTGAATTGGTGACATTGTGAATCCACCCCTAATTTAGCAGTGATGCTTAGATGGTCTACACTCTCAATAACAAGCTTCCTTAAGTTTGTGATGGAGAGGTAAGAAAATGAGAGAATCTCAGAATTCCAGAGTTGAAAATGACCCCAGAATTCATCCGGTTCACCCCCAACCTAAAGAGAAATCCTTTCTCTGCCTCCCTGACAACCAATGACCCAGGCTCGCCAGTGATGAGGAGACTACTGCCTTCAGGGGAAGCCTGTTTCACGCTGGGACAGCTCTGCTGGGAAGCTTTTCTTAACAATGCTTTAAAATAGGCGTCTTGGAGCAGCCAGGTGGCACAGCGGATAGAGCACCGCCCTGGAGTCAGGAGGACCTGAGTTCCAGTCCAGCCTCAGACACATAACACTAGCTATGTGACCCT